GTCACCACCTACAGTGAGCTTATAAATAGTTTTTTTTTTTTTTTAATTTGTGGTTGAAAATTGAAATGATCAAACATAGAAAACGTCTTGACTTACACCACGCTATCATTATTTGATTTTTGTAGAAAATAACACTTTAACCATCAGCAATTTGAATATTTGTTAAAGTTTCTATTATCATAAATTAAAGATAATGCGATATCGAAAGAGTAAAATCATCATACCAAAAAATAGCTGTGTTGAAAACAATCAAATTGGGTAATATTAAATGTTTATTTGAATATCGGCTTCAATATAAGAACCGTTGAGCTAAAGTTGATGACCAAAATTAGAACGATATTCGCTGAATTTATGGACCTTTCAAAATCATTATCATATTAGGATGGACAAAGACTACGTTTCAGTCTCATCTTTTGAATTTACTTTATCCATTTTGTGTTTAACGACAACACATTAGTTGGTGATTTTTTTTACATTTAATCAAGCAATGCTGTTTTTTTTAGAATTTTCCGTGCAGATGGCTAACTAATGAGGTTTGTTAAAATGTCACTGTCAATAAAACCTCTTAACTCAAGAAATATCCTCGCTTAAGTAAAAGTTGAGAATATCATAGTTGTAAAATACTGTCATTCATCTGTAAATTGTGAATATGACTAGGTTTTAATTAATGAAAATAAACATATTTATTCTACTTCTATGCAACTTTTTCATTAACAAAAAAAGACACATTTACTCTATAATTATCCCATAATTATATCATATTGTTGTGGTCCTTTATAATCAGGAGAGGACTGTTTTGAGACAAGAGTTTCAAGAAAACAGAGAAGCTAAAGGAGAAGAATCGATCGAAATGGATACTCGTAATGACAATTCAACAAAACACATGATGATGTGGTTCTTCTTAGGGATGCTGTTCTGTTTCATGGTGGTTGAGTCAGATGCTCAATTGTCTGAGAATTTCTACGCCTCGACATGTCCTAACGTGGAGCTCATCGTTGAGCAGGCAGTTGCTAAGAAATACCAAAAAACTCACATCACGGCTCCGGCAACTCTACGGTTGTTCTTCCACGATTGCTTCGTTGGTGTAAGTAGGCTCTTGTTTGTGTTCTTGAATTTTGTTTCGTGTTTCTTTTTGGTATTTGTGATAATGTGGTCGGTGACTATTTTTTATAGGGATGTGATGCTTCTATGTTGATAACATCTGAGACCGGAGACGCAGAGAGAGACGCGCCGGACAATTTATCCCTCGCCGGAGACGGATACGACACGGTGGTTTTGGCTAAACTCGCTGTGGAAGCTCAATGTCCCGGTGTTGTGTCATGCGCGGATATTTTGGCTATAGCCGCTAGAGACGTCGTGGGATTCGTAAGTCGACGCTTCTCAATTTTTCGTCAATAACTCACATGTGAATGAGACTAGGCTAATTAAACTATACATATGGTTCCCTAAGTAAAATCGCTATGTGGTTGACAGGCTGGTGGACCGGGGTTTAAGGTGGAGTTAGGGAGACGAGACGGGCTCGTGTCGAAAGCGTCTAGAGCGGAGGGGAAGTTACCTGGACCAGAACTCAACGTGAGTGACTTGGTCGAGATGTTCGCTAGTAACGGGCTTTCGATGACTGACATGATTGCTCTCTCAGGCGCGCACACAATAGGATTCTCTCATTGTGACCGTTTCGCTAACCGTCTCTACAACTTCTCAACGTTCATGCCCGTGGATCCCACGCTAGACCTGGCCTACGCACAGCAGCTGATGAATTCTTGCCCTCGAGTCGGCTCGGACCCCAACGCGGCCTTACCCCTGGACCTGACCACCCCAGAGGTCTTCGACAATAACTATTTCAAAAACCTCGTGGCTCGGAAAGGACTTTTCACCTCTGACCAAGTTCTGTTTAACGATTTCTCAACTCAGTCCACGGTGGTTAGGTTTGCGAACAACGCCGGGGATTTCAATGCCGCTTTCGTTTCAGCTATGAGGAAGCTTGGCCGCGTCGGAATCAAAGTTGGGAACGAAGGGGAGATTCGAAGGGATTGCACTGCTTTTAACTAACATTGTCGAACCAATGTTTAAAACCTATAAATTTCAAGCTTTTGATTTATGCTTGCTATATTAAATTAAAATGGTCATAATCCACAATGGAACCTTCTAAATTGTTGTTCTAAAGCTATTTGTCAGGATTACTCATATTCCTACAACATTTATTTGATAACAAGCACACTAAAATTTATATTACGTCTATGGATCGTTTCTAAAAAGATATTTCTAAAAAATATATACCCAACCATGAATATTGCCGCGGATATGAATCCAAAAAACATACAAACCAAACAAAAATTGACAACAACAACAAAAAATCGATGATACAGAAACAAAACCTGTATTGGAGAATCGAAGACAAAACCAAAGAATAAGAAGCTGAGCACGATCACATATATATATAAAAAGAACAAAGAGATCGATCAGGTGCGGGTCTTGCCATAGAGATTAGTGTAAACAGGCTTGGTACGACGCACGAGAATCATACTCAAGACGCAAGCGAGGACGCAGAATCCAGACATTATGAGGGACGTCAAGAAGTAACAGATGGAACCTTCACATTTAAGTGCGTCATCCGGATTAAACACAGACCCGTGAGCGTGAGCTTGCCTTTCTGCTTCCCGGTCATAGATGGTGCTCGCAATCACACCGGAGAAGACTAGAGACCCAGCCGGGTTGGCCAGTGTCAGGAAATTGTATAAAGCTCCAAACTTTTTAAGACCAAAGAGCTCAGAGGCAGTAGCTGGGACAATAGCCCAGTGAGCACCGTATCCGAGTCCAATCAATAGTGTGCCAATGTACATCGCTCCAGGCCATCCGAACGCAAAGAAGATGTGTCCAACAGACATTACTAGCTGAGCCACGGCCATTGCTACCGGCCTTGGGTATGCGTAGTCCCTGCACCATCATTCAAATCAAAATCAGAACAGAGCACAAATGAACAGAGAAGAAATCTGCATATCGTAGGACTAAAATTTCTGGCTTTCCCCGAGATCAAACCTGACAATGAGCTCGGAGAAATAACCGCCACCAATTCGTCCAAGGAAGTTCCAAATGCTAATCATAGACACAAACACATGAGTGTTATCATAACCAAGAGACTGACTCATCTGACCAAGATTGTCAATTACTGTCAAACCCGAACCAGAACCGAGCAGCAAGGAGAAGAATATCAGCCAAAAGTCGGCCTTCACCAGTGCCTGCGTTAAAGTAAAATCTTCCCCTCTGTGTGGCCCTCTCCGTCTCCGAATCGCCCCCTCTGCAGCTGCCTGCATTAGCTGTGCTTGCAAATGCGCAATCCTCTTATGCCTCTCTGACGCAGGAAGCAAATCAACATCTTTTGGTTTCTCATCTTCCACTTCACTCAAGATTAGGTCAGGTGTCATCAGTCCACGTTCTTCTTGGTCTTGCCGTTTTGGGACAAGAGGCTCTTCTATCGTGTCAACTGGATCGATCGACCCTGTGAAGAAACTTGTCTTGATTGGGACCAAGATCGGTACCACAAGAATGACAAACAACACAACAGTGAACGCAGTGATAATATCGTGGCTAACAACAACCAGATCTTGAATAAGCATAACAGCCATGAGATAAGCAGCGAGCAGAAGGCAGACACCGTAAATGAAAGTAAAGCTGACTCCATCGGTGGGACGAATCTGCCTGTGACCACCAACAGGTCTGATGAAGAACATGAGAGACACAATGACAACAAAAGGTGCAACAGCGACCATGAAAATGAGAGAAGCCGGGTCGGGTGAGTTAATCATTGTATATATCTGCGAGAGAATCGCACCGCCTAACCCAGCAAACCCTTTGAGGATACCAACCACTGGACCTCGGCTCTTGGGGAAGTTATGAACACCAGAGACTAAGGATCCAGTATTGAAGTAAGTTTCTCCATTGTTCCCAACGAATATGAGAACACACATCTGAAAATCAACAAACAAAATGAGGTTGTGTCAACACAGAATATACTAACCAATCTACTACATTATTATAAACAAAACAATTTCATGGAAAATTAAAGAGGGGAAAAAAAGTGGAATTTGTCATAGATTCGAGTAATTTGATAGCGACTTCTCTGTAACCATAATCAAACAACCTCAAAAGCAAAACTTTCTCCAAGAATCTCCAACACAACCACAAAAGCAGATTTTAATAGAAAGCCTGCAACTATCTCTCATCTCAGTACCCAAAAACTATAATCAGATGACCCACATGCAGATTTTTCCCAACGGAGAAATCAAAAAGAAAAAGATTACTCACAGCCCATAGAGGAAGAATCGGAGCTCGACCGGTGACGATAAGCCAAACCCATCCGTAACCGACGAGGTTCTGAATAGCACCGACGAGAAGAGCAGCCCAGAGAGGCAAAATCTCAGAGAGAGTTCCAGCGAGGAATCCGACACTATCGCCGAGATCTTTAGCGACTCCGAGTCTCGAAAGCTCCTTCTGATTGTAGTTTAAGGAGCTTTTGATGACCGGAGAAATGCTTCCGAACAAGTAACCGATACCAGCGCAAGACTGTATCCACATGGCAGCCACGAAGACGAGCCATCTGTTGTTGATGAAAGACACAAACTTTTCTCTCGTAGTCGACGCCATTGACGAAATGCTTTCTGGGTTTCCGTTTTTTTAATCTCCGACACCGGAAAATCCGGGAAGAATCAGATCAAAGGACAATCGGCATAGTAGTTTTTTTTCCTTCTCTTTCCTTTTTTTGATTAGTTGAGTTGTCTATCTGTCTATCTTTGTAGTATATCCGATTTTATCCTTTTTATAGATTTTAGAAACGAGAGAGACAAATTCTGATAATTGAACAACATTGAAAACGAACCGTAAAACGGTGATCTATACTTATAAACATGAAGTCCAAAATCTGAAGTGGCATCACGAGTTGAAATTACTGTAATACCATAAAATCTCTACTTAATTATATTAGAATGCCATCGTTTTTAGTTTGGGCTGGTTTTCAGATTGTATACTAAACAAAGCCCATAGAAGTAAGTTGGTCATACAAAAGTTTTATTATTTAACTATATTTCGTAGACCTAATTTTCGTAATATATAATATCTCTCCAAACTACTTTTTAATCTCCCAGTTTTAGTTTCAGAAGTCTGATTTTCTGATTTTTAAGGCCTATCGTATTTTGAGAATTTTTAGTTATTGCATGTTTCTCTTGCTCGTTTTTCCTAATGATTTCTTTGTTTTCGTTTGTTTTTTTTCTCTCTTAATTTACAGGTTAATCGCATGAAAAATTCACGATATTATATCATTTATTAAATCAATTTATGGTATATTTCATAGACCTAATTTTCGTAATATATAATATCTCTCCAAACTACTTTTTAGTCTCCCAGTTTTAGTTTCAGAGYTCTGATTTTCTGGTTTTTATGGCCTACCGTATTTTGAGAACTTTTAGTTATTGCATGTTTCTCTTGCTCGCTTTTCCTAACAATTCCTTTGTTTTCGTTTGCTTTTTTCTCTCTTAATTTACAAGTTCATCGCATGAAAAATTRACGATATTATATCATTTATTAAATCAATTTATGGTTTATATTAATCGATTTATCATGTATAAATGTGTTTCTTTGTGTTGTTTACTCTTAGGTTGGTCATGGTCTATGTTTTTATTCTCGAAGCTAATACTTGCATATATAATTCATTACTCTAGATATGAATTTCCTTTTTATGGTACATGATTTTTGTTTTCGTGATTTTATATAAATATATTAGGTGTAGGATTTGTTCTATTATATGTTTGTGCTTTTTTAACATAATTTTGTTTTGGGCAGATTTTAACCTGGTCATTAAGGTAAGATTATCTTTCACGCTTGCTATGTTTGGTGATAAATTTGTTATTTTTAATTGTTCGTGTATATACAGTTTGTATTCAGGTTTATCAGTCATTATTCAGGTAAGAATTTTACATCATAGTTGTTAGTTAGACGACATAATTTTCCTTTAAGTGTTTTGTTTTGCATGTTTCATTGTCATTATATAATTACGAGGGTTTGACAATTTTTGTTTCTGTATCGTAGGATGCTAATTTCTTTTATTTCATGAGTTCTTATATATTCTTATGCTTGGTAATTAACTTTTTGGTTTGATCTGATTTCTTTTATTGTTTTGTTCTCCAGATTTTGTGTTCTTTGATATCAAATTAAGTTGTTATTATGTCTGGTTTTGAGTTTGATTATTTTTTYAAAWTTTCCTAATCRTTTATCGCRCACGGGACCTAACTTAGCTAACCCAAAATCAGATAACTTTGGGTGATAGCCATCGCCTAGAAGAATGTTGGATGATTTCAAGTCTCTGTAGATCACGGGCGGGTTTGTCTTATCATGCAAATACTCCAGTCCCTTTGCTGGTCCTGCCGCTATTGTCATTCTTCTACTCCAGTCTAGAGGCTCTTCATCAGGTGGAAGATCTGAAAAACCAAAATTCTAATTCACCTTTATGCACTGAGTAGAACTATTTGCAAGCTACGTTTCAATTTATTTACCATAAATAGTTTTCGAAGTCCAAATTAAGAAAAGTTAAAGACTTTCATAATATATCAAATATAATAACACTACACACATGCCGTAGTTTCTATTATGATAGTTTTGAGTCAAATTGTGATGGGTTCCTTCCTACTACTTCCTAATGGAAACATTATAAATCTGATATCAAAGAARCAGTCACAATTATCAATCTACCATATTGCTACCACTTTTAACCTAACTTTGTGATGTGTTTTCTATTATTTTAGGTTGCGAAGAAAAAAACCTTCAAACAAAGGAAAATAGAAGTTAAAAAGCAAAAACTATTTAAAAGTGATTAAAATGTTTATAAATTAGTCCCTTTTTGTATATGATTATGACGATGCATGATGTTAGCGATATTTTGCTTATATCATTCATGGTGAACTCAGTTTCGTTTTGCTCTTGCTGTCTAACGTGCTGATAAGTCTCAGTTTATGAATTTTCTTTCTTAACTTTGTTATGATCACAAACTGAGTTGGTCTAATTATATTTCATGATTTCTTACCTTTTCTTCTTCTCAATGGTCGATCACATGAATCTTCTCTTTACATAGAATTATGGTAAARTGAGATAGTCCGTTTGTGACATTCCTTAGYCAAGATGACCGAGTCTTTTATTTRCTCAAGGACACATCGAYTCAAAGAGATTTCATCTCTTAGTTCTTACGTTTTTGCTACTTTTTTATTTTATCTTTTTTTGACTCCCCATTATTGAAAATTGTTGGTCTCTATTATTTTTTAATGTTGCTGATGATTAGGTGGAAGCATTGACAAGTTTTTTTGGTTTCTGAGACTTGAAACAATAAATTTCACCCACGAAATTTATGTAKATGTTGCRCTTCTTCCTGAATCTAACGTAAGTTGTGTTTCTGATTCATTAAGTTGCAAGAAATTGCATTTGTGGTACAACTGCGATAGAAGAYAATGTTGTGAAGTTGATCTTCACATYTGATCACATCAAGATACCACAATCAACATGTGGCAGCGTAAGCATCTTTTTACCCATCTCTTTCTTTGCATTCGATTTTTGATTTTTACAAGATTGGAAATTTCTTAATTAGAAATTATATACATTACTAATATTATTTTTTAACGGTGAAAGAATAATTTTACTAATGAGTTTAAAAGCTATAGTACATTAGAACAACTAGAGAGCATTGGATAACAACTTTAAATATTGTAATCCCACAAATAAGCTAAGGTTGGCTCTCTTTTTTTTTGGCTTTTTATTCGTTAGTTCGTTTGTTATTTTTGTTCATATGCATGATATTCCATATTATATCAATTGTGATATTCTTTGAAGATATTTTCAAGGCAGGTTCTTATGGTTTGTGTGATGCGTGGGGGTTCTGTTCTTCAAGAAAGTACATATGTTGATATAATTGACCTCTTTTGTTTCCTATGCTTTTTTTTGGATTTCATTATTTTTGCTTCGAAGAGAAGACTCCACCTTTAAAAATGGTATGTTTTTTTTAAAAAAATTTCGTAG